TCCCTTGTATCCATGTTCACAGTTCAGACTGGACACATGAGTGCAGATTGTGTTGAGTGTTATACTATCTGAGCTGCTGCGGAAATCTCTGGATTCAGGAGAGGCAATGGGCCAAAGCAGAATTCACAATTGTTGCACAGTGTATCTTTCTCTTGATATATTGCTATTTTATCACTGGGTTAGAAAGTCAGTAAGTTGACTGATGTTACTTGCACTCCTGGTGCTATTCTACCCATTGTTCTGCCACCCTCAGGAATACTAAGTGTTCTTGCAACCCACAGTTAACCCATACATTTATAACACCCAGCGCTGGTGGGTGGCCTACTCTCAAGCATTGTTCTTTCCTGTATCACACACTAATCAAGCCCGGTGGGAGAAAAAAGGAGTAGAGGTCTTAACTAAATACACAGCTGTGGGGTGATATTGCTATCTTAATAGAAAAACAAGGGGGGGCTTTTATTTTGGCTCGGCAAATCAGAAGATAAATGGGGCTCTGTGCTGTTTGACATGTGAATTCTGTTACAGATTCGAGACTTATATCATGTCTCTGCTGTCTTTAACAGCCACACTTTTTTCTACATAAATGCCAGCCGCTGTCAAAGTGGTCAGCAATGCATTGCAAAAGGCTTTGTGGCTGAAACAAATCTACAACACAAGGCTGTCTGGGTGAGCTTAACTGTAAAAGGGAACTACAGAGGCATGTTGGGAACAACAGTTACTAATAGATAATGGCCAAAATCTACATACCAAAATACTGCTGTCCATTTCCATAGTCAGACCTAGGTTTGGAATGTTTGTCATAGAAATTGTTTTTCTGAGAAAAGGGTCCCAATTTTCAATTTGGACCACAAATTTCCACAATTCACTCACTAGATTAACCTGATCAGTGCAGCAAAGTAATTTTGGATAATTCTGTGTACATTTGGCATCAATGGCAAAGTATGTAAAATTTCAGTAGTTGTACAGCAAAGTGAGGCTCTTCATTACTGAGGAACTACTAGTCTCGTCATGCTATGCAAACCTTTATCAGACAATTGCTGTTCCTAAGCAGATTCGGAGCAGTTAAATTCATGAATATCTTTTTCACCACAAGAAAAAAAAACATTGGGCAAAATTCAGTCACTTAGAGCAACGTTTGTTTTTGAATCTTTCTTTGGTTCATCTACAGTAAATTGGTTGCTCTAAGTATGTTTCCCATAACCACTACTTTTTAACTTACTGATAATTCCTTCTGGTGAATAATAATAAATGTATGTGCTGCTGATCGTAAAGATTTCTGCTAGTATCACAATACATGGTGCAATTACATCATCATCTGTGGACATTGGCAACCCATGCCCATTCTTCCTATACATAAGAAGATCCCTTATGGTGAGGAACAAGGCTAAGACCCCTTTCTCAAGGAGTAGACTCCATTATGATCAGCAGGAGATCTGTCCGTTAATGCCCTGCTGATCAGAGCAGAGCGGGCATACGACAGATTCATGTCTGTTCAGTTTATGCAGAGCAGACACAGATGAAGCCTGTTCTGCTCTATGGGTGGTTGGGAGTAAACAGACTCTGCTTTCCATTTACACCCGACTACCCTCTGATCTGGTCCAACCAGACATAAGGGGATCCCATCCATTTTCTTTTTTGCGGACTGGACTGGACCCAGAGGTAGGCGAGAGTAAACAGACAAAAGTCAGTTTACACACGCTGGTCCAAGGGTGAATGGACTGTCTGATCAGGTCTGCCTGAAAAACTGACAGGTGGACTTGATCAGACCCTTTATGTGAAAGGGGCCAAAAAGGAAATTTCTACTGAGAAAAATATAGAGACTACCATTGCAGAGCTTTCCTGAAAATGCTAGTTGACTGGTTGTATTTCCGATCCTATGGTTACAATAACTTTCCAGTCACAGACCTGGAACAAATATTCAGACAAGGAGATCTGACTTCACTCTGGTTTAGTTGTATGCTTGTCCTGGGCCAATGGCTTACTAAGTATTGAAGTTACAGACAACTGGGCAACATTTTTAGAAAAAGATCAGTAACTCTGGCCACCATATTTTTCTCAGTACAGGTTTCCTTAAAGTAAATGTTTCAGGAAGATTCTAGCAAAAAGAATATCTGCAAACCTACTAGCCCCATTGGAGGAAAACCTAGAGTAATAGTTCTACATTGGGTTGTAGGAACATCCAAGACCCCTGTCCATGACTAGGTGTAAATCTGGCCATAGATGATTTGACTATCATCCAGTTCAGCAGGGACCGGTTGAGTTTTGAACCACCTATGGGCAGGCTGATTTAGCCATTTTGATTGTTGTACAACTTGGGTACTACCAGCATGCAATCTATGGTTGCAGGAAAGAAAAATGCATCATCTATGGTCTGCCTAAGACATCCTAAAGGAAGGTGTAGGTGTCTGATGTGTGTGATAGCACTAGACTGATAGACCTGAGACTTGATTCAGATGGATATGCAATGGAGTGTATCTTCCTTCAAAGTAGCTAATCTGTGATGAAGGTATAATAAATGTGGATCTCTCTAATCACCACAAAAGGAGCATTTAGCAAATGATAAATTCTGAGTTGCGCATTGAGGGTGCTTAGTATAAAAAAAATCATACCATTTAAAGGTATTTTTGAAACATTTATTGGTTAAAAGCATCAAATACAGCCAACACATTTTACATAACTCCCCCTTCTTCAGGACTAATGTGCCAAATAGGCTTTTTTTTTGGATTCGATGAAGCCAAGGAGCAGGGCTTCGGAGGTATGGCTCTACTTCTGCCTGTGTCCCAAGCTCAGCTAAAACCATCTGAACAGGAACATGTGTTTTTTCAGAGGATATCCACTACACTTTTCATGAAAAGCCACTTTATCCAGGAGGCAAACTTGTGCTTTGTCCATGCAGGGCAAAGCAATAGGGTCACTCTAATTTAGCCTTGTGTGACAGCACTGATCGATGCAGGTTTGCTTTAAGCTTATGAAATAATAGATAGAAGGATGTTCACAACTTAGAAAGCTGCCTCACATGACATCTAAGTTTAAAGTAAATGTAATTCCCTGTGGCTAGTAATGCTATGCTATGCTTTTAAAAAGAACATTGCACTGTTTATACAGTAAATAAATGGACCTAAAATAGTACTGAACTGAAAGCAAACTGAAGATCCATTTTACATTTCTTTAGCTTTAGTTATTTGGTAATTGCTATAAAATAAAACAAAAAAGTCTAGTTGCATGGGAGAGCCTTTATTCTTCCATGCCAAGCCGGACAACTGTTAAAGATAGTTTGCTTGAGCAATTTGTAAGCACACTGACAGCATGGTGTCTAGTGATAACAATTTTGACAGGTTTAACTGCAGATATCCCTGTTAACAGACTGGTCTTCTGATAGGCGGGATGGCTACTAAAATAGAGATAAAGCAAAAATAGCTTTCAGCTTCTCTGCTAAAAAAGTTTCAATTCCTTATTTCATAATGATTATGCATGCATTGACAAAACACTCACATAACATGCACGTAAAAGCAAAATATATGTCCAAGCCAACAGAAAAAAGCAGTAAGAATGCCATTAGACACTCTTAAAGTGAACCTATCAGCCATTTTATATGTTAACACATTTTATGTTTATACAGTGTGAGCAGTGTAAGCAGACAGCACTAGATGATGCTTTTGTAGGCCAGAAAAGGATCCACCATATGCTTCTTTGATTTTGTTTTATTGTGTTACTAGAGGACCGACAGGAGTGCCTCAGTACCAAAAAAAGCACTCTTATTAGACAGTGTATTAGCAAAGGAGTTTATTTCTGAAGGTCCCCTAATAAACTAACACATAGATCCAAGGAAGATACAGAAAAAGCTTTTCTGGCTAATAAAATTAGCGGGCATTTTGTGGTACATGCTCATAGAAATGACTTTTACTTTTAAACATTTAAAACAGTTAACAGGTTCCCTTTAAACACAGGCAGTTTTGAATATCAAGAAGTCTAAAATAGGAACTATCCAAAAGTAGCCAATCCCATTAAAATTTGCATTGCCCAGTTCTCATTTTGCACTACAAGCGTGAATCTAATTGTCATGGCATTTAAGATCTTTAATAAGGCTACAGAATCTCTCATAAAACACAATAAGGCTACAGAATCTCTCATGAAGCACAATACCTGTATGAGAAGCCTCCAGTGGAAGCTTTTTACTCTTGGGAAGCATACTAATTCCCCTGTGTTTTTGTATTTTTTCCTTCCATAATCATAAAACATTCTGCTGGGAGAATGGACTTTTGATTAAAATGACTCAAGTTTTGGTTTTTGTATAACTCTGACAGTATGCTAATGCTAAAGAATACAGGGAGATATATATATATATATACACAACTCAACGGGGCTTAAATTTAGAAAAGGGATTTTCAAACGAAGTGAGTTATCTACTAAAATGGAGATTGCAAAATTGAGTGCAACTCTGCATGTAAACCAATCAGCTTTCAGGTTTTATTACCAAAGCTTAATTGAATAAGCTGAAGTTAGAAGCTGATCGGCTACCATGCACAGCTGCACCAGATTATGAGTGCCCCAGTTTGAGTACATCTCCCCCGTGGTCAACATTTGGGTGGGTCACAGCCCGACTTTCTCAAGACTTTTTCATAGCTTGTACCTGGGCCAATACCCCTACAAACATGTGCAGTGGCCCATCTCTACACTGCCTATACAATACTATATAAACTATATTGCCAAAAGTTTTGGGACGCCTGCCTTTACATGCACATGAACTATAATGGCATCCCAGTCTTAATCTGTAGGGTTCAATATTGAGTTGGCCCACCCTTTGCAGCTATAACAGCTTCAACTCTTCTGGGAAGGCCGTCCACAAGGTTTAGGAGTGTGTCTATGGGAATGTCTGACCATTCTTCTAGAAGCGCATTTGTGAGCTCTGGCACTGATGTCAGGCTCTAATTCATCCCAAAGGTGTTCTATTGGGTTGAGGACCTTGCTTTGTTCACTGGTGCGCAGTCATGTTGGAACAGGAAGGAGCCATCCCCAAAATGTTTTCACAAAGTTGGGAGTATGAAAGTGTCCAAAATGTCTTGGTATGCTGACACCTTAAGATTTCCCCTCACTGGAACTAAAAGGCCAAGCCCAACCCCTGAAATACAACCCCACGCTATAATCCCCCCTCCACCAAAACTTTACACTTGGCACAATGCAGTCAGGCAAGTACCATTCTTCTGGCAACTGCCAAACCCAGGCACGTCCATGGTATTGTCAGACAGAGAAGCGTGATTGGTTACTCCAGAGAACATGTCTTCACTGCTCTAGATTCCAGTGGCAGCATGCTTTACACCACCGCATCCAACGCTTTGCATTGCACTTGGTGATGTAGGGTTTGCATGCAGCTGCTCGGCCATGGAAACCCATCCCATGAAGCTCTCTATGCACTGTTGTTGTCCTAATCTGAAGGCCACATGAAGTTTGGAGGTCTTTGGCTATTGATTCTGCAGATAGTTGGTGACTTCTGCACACTATGCGTTTCAGCATGCGGTGACCCCACTATGTAATTTTACGTGGCCTACCACTTCATGGCTGAGTTGCTGTTGTTCCCAGTTGCTTCCACTTTGTTATAATAACAGCAACAGTTGACTTTGGAATATTTAGCAGCAAGGAAATGTCACAGATGAACTTATTGCACAGGTGGCAACCTATCACGTTACCACGCTTGAATTCACTGCCCTCCTGAGAGCGACCCATTCTTTCACAAATGTTTATAGAAGCAGTCTGCATGCCTAGGTGTTTGATTTTATATACCTGTGCCAATGGAGGCGATTGGAACACCTGAATCCAATGATTTGGAGAGATATCCCAATACTTTTGGTAATGTAGTGTATGATATATATATATATATATATATATATATATATATATATATATAAATAAAATGTATTTAATTGCATACATATATCATGGTATAGGTCCCCTCCTCTACACTAGCATATACAGTGAACAAATTACTTATTTATCCCTATTGACTTGTTTATCAGCAGAATTATGGCTGGTATATTTAGTCCCCCAATGTTTTATGGCCTTTGAATGTGATGAAGACTGTGACAAGACTCTGCACAAAGACTTTGTCAGTTCAAACCAATCCCTCCCCAGAGGTGCTGAAATATATCTGTAAAGTATAAGTAATTGAAGTCATCTGACCTAACACCTCCCCCAAGGTGTATGCTCTGCAAAAATTCAGACTACTGTACAACATACCATACAGGATTTGTCCAGAATGTTTTAAAAAGGTGCTAATCATACTGATTCCAATTCTGTCGTTTTCACCAAGTCCTTTAGACTACCGAACGTTGCACATGAAATACTAACATAATTCAAGGTTATATCAGAAGTTAGCAAGCTTGTCATGTCTCACTCATTTCAAATGAGTTGCATTCACTGGAGAGTACCCACACTCATTTTCTACTTCAATAGTCTCATTCACTTCAAGGCACAGCCCTACTTCACCAAAACTGCCTTTTCCTGCATTTTCATCCTGATCATATGTATGTTCCTCTTTTAGGAAAACAATAGATTTATCATTACTCTACATTATAACAAAAAAAAAACAATGCACCTAATTGCCACAGCAACCAAACAGGCCTCTTTTCATTAATTTCTGCATGCAAAATGAAGCTAGTGTCTGATTTAAAAGGAAAAGGACACAAAGCACGCTTGCCAATTGTCCTTGGGTTTGTAGTGACTGCGCCCATCTTAAAAGATTTGTCCTTGGAAGGTTTTTGCTTGATTTTTATTAAACACTTACAAAGACAACCTGCTATAGCTGATGGAAGAGTTAAGTATCTGTTAGGCTGCAGTAGAACTAATAGTCCACGAAAAAAAAAAAGCAGTATGGGACCTCTAGTATAAAAAAAAAGCGAAAACATAAGTTAATTGCAAACTTTTTGTAAAATTACTCCAAGGTTACTCCAGGTTTTGCCAGTTTTCAGACTTCACCTTTCAGTTTTCTTTAGCGAAGAAGAAATGGGAAGGAACTGCTTGCTGTGGGAAGTACTACCCAAATATATAGGGTGAGGATCCCATGTCTGTATGGTACCTGCAGACACAGGAGATGTCAGTTTGGGTGAAGCAGTGACTGGAGCAGTCAATCAACCACTGATCAATAGAAGACATTCATTTTTATTGTTATAAAGAATTGATAAAGAGCACACATTGTTCGCAGCACATAACAAAATAACAAGACAGTACATTCACAATACATTTCAAGAAAAGTGGCTAAGGAGGGCCCTGCTTGTGACAGCGTATGATCTATTTAGCCCTGATATGCTGCTTGGCAAATCTGTACATCCAACATCCTTTAATGTCCATGTGCACCTTAATACTGCTACTGGTACTTTAAAAGAGAAGTGTGGGATTCCCCCCCAATAAAACACACATACTCACTTTGGTTGCAGCATCGGTCTGATGCTGCATCTGTTCCCAGCAGCCTCTAAGATCTAGAACTGAGCGATCAAGATTGCTGATTGCTCAGTTTTTAACCTTCAGTGAGCAGAGAGTGGTGACTGTCAGTCACTCTGCCCCTTCAATGCTCACTGGAGCGCCAGGTTGCGGAGGGGGCGGGAGTGGCTCACTCAGGCTTTCAGCGGCACGTTGTGAGGTTGAACCACCTGCCGCTTGAGCACCTGGGTGGATCGCGACATTAATGTCGAAGTCCTTCTGGAACCTGAATCGGCTGAATGACATCAGTCAACAGCAGGCTAAATCTGGGTCACAGGAGTGCAGAACTCAGTGCACTCCTGTAACCCATAGGAGAAGTAGGGCCAAAAGAGCTTTGGCGCTACTTGTCCTTTATTTTTGAAATTTTAAATCAATTTGCTTGCTTTTAGGTGGTGAATATATATATATGTGCAAAGAAGAGAAAAAAAACTTTTAAGCATACCCCACCCCACAATGCCTGTCTAGAAAACATCCCAGCCTGTACAATGATAAGTTATAACTCTTCTCTCTCTCATAGCTAGTTAACATGTTCCCTGTGTTAGACTGATAACAGTGTGCAATACAGTGCAGCCCAACTGGCTGCTAGCTCAGGTCACCTCTTTCCAAGCCCTGCTGCATAACGGATTACAAAAACCTGGGAAAAAAAAGACAAATTCAAGTACGTGATTGCATGTTCTTAAATTAAAGAATGTACATATACATATATATATATATATATATATATATATATATATAAGGGTGTTGCGCAGAAGATTATATTGTTAATGCTGAGAACTCTCACTGATACATTGTATTGAAAACTAGTGGTTAATAAATTGGAATAAATAGATAAATAAAAATTTTCAAAATAAATAAATATATATATATAGGTTTTTTCAAAATATGAAATATATATATATATATATATATATATATATATATATATATATATATATATACACACACATACGTGTATAGGCAAACTCACACTGCATATGTATGCAATATTTATCAGAAAAGCTGCAGGAGCTCAGACTGACTGAAGGTGGCGCTGTAGAACCTCCCAGCTTTTTGAAGCTGCAAGTGTTGAAATGGTCTGTGTGTTCCAACAGAAAACAGGTAGCAGCAGCCTTCAAAAGATTGGACCTCAGTCGACTTCAATTGCTGCAGTGTCCTTGCTGTGTTTGATCAGTCAGTGTTATTACTGCCGATATCGAGGGAAATTAGGTGATGTTTTTAAAAGAAAAAAAAATACTTGGATGGCTGACAGCAGTTTGTGTTGCAATACTGGCTGAAAGAGTTATCTTTGCTGTATAAATATTTGTAGAGACACTTATCAAAAGCAGCTATCGTATATCAGGCCCCTTTTTAGCTGAATGGAAAGGATAATGATATTACTATAGTCTTGAACTCAAACACAATTATGCAAACACAAATGCACTTGTTAAGTGACAAAAACAAATAGCCGTGGTTTATGTAAGTAATGCAACTCTTACAAGAGAGACGGAGAGTATAAAAAATACTTGTAGATGCATATAAATAGATTATGCTGCTCCCATGACAGATCTGATGATCCACTGAAATTATAAAATCAACTGATTGTGTAACTCTCTACAGCACATCTTGGATCTTATATTACACAAACCACGCCATAAAAATATACAGTGGCATAGCCCTCAGCTAAATATCAAAAGAACACACTGCAGCTCAGTCTAACCCAGCCTCAACCTTTTTCAAAACTGAGGAACCCTTGAAATACATTTCAGATCTCAGGATACCCTTGGTAATTATTTAATGCTGGGCTGCTGATAGGGAGGTAGAGCCAGCTCTTCTGTACTGGGCCCTCACCTCATGAGTTCAAAAAGGGGGGCCCAGTGGCAGAGTGGGGAATTTTTGATTTCCATGGGGCACAGACATATTATTACCGTGGACTGTGGTTCCCAGCATTGATATTTAAGTTCCCTGGGTTCCCCATTAGTTCAGAAAGAGGGCACAAGGCCAAAAAAGGGGACTTTTCTTGCTTTTAGGGGCAGGTAAAGTAATATTAAGTGGCTTGACTCCCGATATACATGCACTCTGTATGTTACATACTCCTGAACCTGAACTCTGTACAATACATACTCTTGACACCTGCACTCTGTATGTAGGCTCAATTTTTAGGACCATCCCATTGTTAGCACAATGTTGTCACAGCCACAATTCACCACTGTGTGTTTCCTCATTCTTGTTCTCTGGATGTTCAAAGGGGCCCTGTCAGGTGCACTGTGCAGGGTCCCTTGATTTCTAACGTCAGCCCTGGTTTAATGCTCATGGTAAACCAACCATTCTCTATCAGGGTTTCCCCCAGAGGTTGCTTGGGGTTGTTAGAGCTGTAGTTGATTGACCATCTGATGGTGCCTGTTGAGTTCTGGGTCTAAAGTCACTTGGCACAGACAGCAGCTTGTTAGGTCTAGGTGTAGATTTACAAGCTGTAATGCTTCCTTCCTCCACCAGGTTTTAGGAGCTCATTTCTATTTTCTGATGCTCCAGGTAGTGGTCAGGCTATCGTCATCCTCACATGCAATGCAGGGTTATTGGTCCTGCATTGTACTTGATGACACCACAGTGCACCTGCTAGCCTCTTACAGAGAAATCTTTTGGAGACCAGTAGCAGAGTGTGGAGGAAGTCTGCAAGAGCAAGAAATAAAATAAGTATTACAGCTTATTATTTTACCACTAGGCCTAACAAGCACTTCTTGGAATTAGGGAAGGGAGGTGCATTACAAGCATAATTTTTTTGCATACATGTTTAATAAAAAAGCCCTGCATAGAAGCCAACACCGCAACATGCCAGCTATTGCCTATTACCTACATTTGTCAGAAACACACCTCTATGTGTCACCATCTGAAACTACTTTATTGCTAAGGGCTTGATTTCAGGGCAAAACCCCATTAATTGCCATCTCCTTGTTCAAGAAGAGAGCCTCAGTAGTCAGTGGGGGCACTGTCATGGGCAGAGCAATGGAAAAACCCACTCAAAGCAATCAATTATTTTTCTAGTGCTTGTTAGAATATAAAAGAAGGCATTCGGCTGATGTGATTTCGAAGAAATATTATTTGTTCATAGAAGCCTTTCTGGTCCATATGAGTTACCATGTGTCCCTGTGTTTCATGTAGTCTGTAGAGCTCTACCCTATGGAAAAACTCTGGTTGGAATAGCTAGATTGTTTAAAGCTGATTTCCAGTTGGCTGGTATTGTACATCACTTATCTATGGAAGCCAATCAAAACTCT